CCCTTTATGGTCTCCAGGAGGGTGACCCACAGCAGCTCAGGTCGCTTGCATCAAGGACACACATGGGACCCAAATCATCACAGCACCAACTGCAGGGATGCTCTACCCTGTTTTAAACCAACACACTTTGAAAGCAGAGCTGCCAACACAGGCAGCCATTTCTAGCCAGCTACTCGAGGTTTTCCAGCCTCCTGCACCGATTCCCTGGGTCTGGTCTGTTCAGCACTGAAATAAGCACTTTCAACACCATCCAGCCTGAGCACACAGAAACGCCGGACATTCAACACATGGTCGGACCAGCTGATCCCTGAGGTCCCTTCAACCCGGGATTCTGATCTATGCTCTTGGCTCATCAGGCTTGAGCCAAAGCCAGCTCCATCTCAGGACCTCGCTCACGCGCAGGATGCTGATCACACAGTCCCCACACAGCTCGTGTCGATGCTTCAGAAGCGCTTGCCAAGAGCGCGTATCCAAGTGTTCCTGGACGAGATGCAGACTGGTTTGTCCCCTTATTAACAAGCCCTCAGAAACCTCCTGCATTTTGGAAACCACCTTTGGCTGATGGAGTTCCCAGCACGGAGCTGGGGGACACGCTGAGCCAACAGCACCAAGCCACACGCGTTAGGAAGGTGCCATTTATTTGCCCTATTATTAGCCAAAGCCTGGGCTGTCCTGTGCACATGTTGTAGATTTTGGGCGAACCGGGGGTTTGGCTACTGAATTTCAACCCCTGCCTCTGCCCGCAGCCTCAGCAGCCCCCCAAGGACGGATATGGATGCTCTCGCCAGCCTCCTCCCCTCCAGCTCTGAGATTCATCCTGGCTCTTCAGAACCAAGAACGGGTTAAAAACATTGACATTTGGATCCTTCGCATGTTATTGTTATGATTTCACAATCCCAGTATCTGGCAGACCGTGCCGTAGGCAGGCCCATGTTGTGCCAAGAGCTGTGCACAAGCAGAGCATGAGCACAGCCCTGGCACAGCCTACGGCTGACCCGGGGCTGCTCCATCCCTGAACAACACCCACTTCTCCATCCCTATGCTATGGCAGGTTTGGGGTCAAACCCACAGCCCGCAGCAGTGGGATTCACGGTGTGAGTCTGTGTTAGGTGTAAATACATCTCCTCCTTTCCTGAGCTTCATTTGTGAGCTGAAGATGGGGAATGTTCACCACACCGGACCCACAGCGTCTCCTACCTGCTGCCATCACACAGAGGAGGTCTCAGATCACATAGATTGGGGGGGAGAAACACCGGCCATGGTCATCTTCAGAGAGGACGATGCAAGCAGATGCAGCTTTTTAGGCAGCTAGCTCACCAAAGAGGTCATTCCAAGTCAAACAACGCACTTTGTTTAAGCAAAAAGCTGCGTTTCGCACCGTGAGGAAAAGGTTTGCTTCAGAAAGAGCAGGTTTTAAATAGAAAACCACGCTGCCAAAAGGCACACGGCAAAATCCTGACAGATTCCTCAAGTCGATGATAAAATGAGGAAGGAAAAGCTTTGGCTGTGCCTGTGCTGCCGCCTGCAGGCATCTCTCCCTGCCCAGCCAAGCCCTGCTCGCTCCAAGGGCCAGCAACAGGGGCCTCCCGCGTTTGACACCACAGATGTGATGCTTTTTGCCATGGGTCAGCTCACTGAAGCTCTGGGCAAGGGTCTCCATCCCTGGTGGGACAGAGAGAAGATCCTGCCCTGTGTTTTACTGGGACCAAAGGCACCACTGACAGTCCCTTGGGCACAGAGCCCAACAGCTTCAGCCCGCTGCAGCATCCTGCACCTCCTGCTTGCGCCAGCAGAGATGTATATGGGAAAACAGGGATCCCAGCACCCCAATTTCAGTCTGGTGCGACCAAGCTCTGCCTGCCAGTATGGGCAATCCTGTCCATGCTCTGCTGAGCCTCTGCCTGCTCCATGCACACCCAGGGACAGGCCTGGAGCAGGGACAGCACCCAGAGTGTTGGAACATGCTGACAAATACTGGGACTGACTATGGGAGCAGAGGCTCATCCACCCCTTAGTGCAGCTCCCGGGCCAGGAAACCCCATCCACACACCAGACAAGGTCCATCATTAAGTTTCATGTCCGTGTCCCTCCCTGGCAGCACAAACAGCAGTGCCCAGCCTGTGTCCCCACAGCACACGGCTCCCATGGGCTGGGTGCCCACGCGTGCTCTGGTCTGAGCAGACTTTTCCACCTCCTTCCAAGTTATGGAGTGGGAATCCCGAGCCCCTCACCAGCCTGGAGGGCAGGAGGGATGGACAGGCTGCATGCCCAGTGTGCTCCCTCCTCCTCCTCCAAGCGCTCCCACTCCTCCATCAGCTCTGCAGCAGAGCTGGGGAGCACAGTGTGCTTCCTGCCTTCTGGAAGAGCCAACAGATGACATGCTATCACCAACACCTCCATAAAGGGCCAGAAATAAAACAGCCTTTCAAAGCCAGCTGAAGGAAGGAAAATCCAGCTGCACAGAAAGGGGCCGGGGGAGTTTCTCCCTTCCCTTTGGAGCTATGGGAACACAGCTCCGGTGCCAGCAGGAGCGATGGGAGGCTGGGTACCAGTCCCGCCTCATCCCCCAGAGGGAAGGTGCCTGGGAAGCAGGGTTCTGTGAAAGGAAGCTCTGTGTGGTTCATTGAAGCTCTCCTTTAGGGACAAATCAAACCCCCAAATTAACACATTTTTAATGTGTTAATGTCACACTTTTTGCATGAATATTTTCAGCAACTTCATGTTCTTCTTGAAAACACGTCTGATGGTTCATTAGGCCAGAGATGATCCTGGCTCTTCTCTGCACTCCTGGATCATAGAATCATACAATGGTCTGGGTGGGAAGGGACCTTAAAGCTCATCCAGGGACCCCTTCCACCAGAGCAGCTTGCTCCAAGCCCCTGTGTCCAACCTGGCCTTGAGCACTGCCAGGGATGGGGCAGCCACAGCTTCTCTGGGCACCCTGTGCCAGCGCCTCAGCACCCTCACAGGGAAGAGCTTCTGCCTAAGAGCTCCTCTAAGTCTCCCCTCTGGCAGGTTAAAGCCATTCCCCTTGGCCTGTCCCCACAGGCCCTTGTAACAGGTCACCCAACACCCTGAGGACGGGCTCAGATCACCCCTCATCAGAATAAAGAAGGGGCAGGACGGGCTGGTTTGGGAGGCTGGGATCACACAGGTTGTAGCTGTCTTCATTTGGCTCTGCTGAGCCTGCCCTCCCAGCAAGGAGCATCCCAGAGCAGCAGCTCAGCCCCGCAGCCTCACACTCCCCCTGGCACTCATCAGAGCGGTGCTGAGCTCAGTGGGACACCCCAGAGCTGACCCCATCCCACTGAAGCAAACCCTGTGGATGTCACAGCATCTCCTGCTGCCAGCCCAGCCGGCCTGCCGGAACCAGATCGGTGCGATGCTGGAGGATCTGGTCCTTGTTATCAGCATCATCAGCCTGGCACCCCCCGGCACCCCGTTTGCAGCGTGGGCAGGAAGGTGGCATTTCACACCCCGTGGTTTGAACTCATGCTGTGAACAGCTTGGGAACCCTACAGAGACCAACTGGACCTCCGGAGCTGCCTGCTTACCCAGCTCTGCGCAAGCTGCCTGCAGTGCCCACAGAGAGCTCTGCCTGCCTCCTACCCCCGCCAGCACCCAAGGCACCAGCCCCCAACAGGGAGTCACATCTCCAGTCTGATCTCTCCGTGCAGGGAACAAGAGGCTTTACAAGAGCACAGTTTATGTTTCACAATGTGCCTAACAGGTCGTGGGGGAAGCAGCATCCCCTAGGAACTCAAAGCCTTTAGGGATGGGATAATCCTGTTTTCTGCCACAAGCTGAGAATGGAGGAGTTCCAGGACAGAGGAAACCGGGATGAGGGACAAGGGGCTCCCAAACGGGTGGCTCTTGGGTCCCTGGGACAGAGCAGAGTCCAGCACTGCCTGGCTGCCTCCACCAGCCCCATCTCCTACCACTGAGATACCAACCAAGACCGGTGTGGGCCCAGGAACTGTTAAAAGGCATAGGAAGAACAGTAGGAAAGGGATGTTCACCACCACAGGGACAGTACAATCCAAAACACGTGCTTTTCCCCATGGCACAGCTAAACAGAGGAACTTTCTGCCACCCCTCCCTAGGGATGCTGGAATTCTACATGATTCAAAATGCAGTTTGAGAAGTCTCTGACTGGAAAAGCCACTGAACACAGGGAGCCCCTGGAGCACCAGCCAGGGCTTGCCAGAGGGCAGGAGCGTGCTTGGAGGAGGCCGAAAGCCTTGTCCCACCTCTCCTGGGGCTCACACATACCTACAACGGTGAGCACGTCCTTCTCGATGTCAGCCCTGATGTAGATGCGGCCGCGGCGCTCGGTGTGGTCCGTCCCGCACAGGCTGGGGACGTTCATCACGCAGCGCTTGTGCACGTTCATCATGCAGGCTGCAGGGGGGACAGGAAGAAAGGGACAGTCAGTGCTGGGGTCACCCCTGCCCCAGCTCACAGGGTTTGAGGGGATGGGGGAGAACTTGTCCTCGTTTTAAATGGGGATGCTTTAAGGGATTCCGGGGTAAACATGCAGCAAATGGAGCTTCAAATGCAGCTGGAGACTGCCAGAGCCCTGCCAGGACACAGGGACCCACCACCCCCCCCCCCAGCTCTGGGTCTTACCAATGGAGATTAAAGGATTTCAGCCCTTACTCTAATTACTTGAATTTTGCTGGTTTGTCAGACTTCTCCTCCATCACACCCGTGGTGCAATGCTGGGTATTGAGTGGGTTCACCAGGAGCTGACAGGGGGCATTAAATATCACCTGCGTATGTGCATTCATATACACGTGTATAGAAAGTTACATATGTATAAAATATATAAATATATATATCTGTAATTTTTTATTCTAAAGAAATTCCTTTCCACTTGGTAACATTTTAAAGGTGATAATGAATACACTGTTCCCACAACAGTCAGCAAGCTTCTATATTTATGGGAAAGGCAGCACATGGCGAGCAGCAGAGTGTGCTGCTCCCCGCCGGCAGCACGAGCACGGAAGCAGAGCTGTGTATTCACAGTCCTTTTAAATAGGAACGTACAAGATTAACATGGAAAATAACTGATCTCTCCCTCTCCATCCTCTCCCTGTTCTTTCATCCCCCATTTCCTCCTCTTTGGACAAGAATTCCCTCAGTTTGCAGAGCAAAGCGCCCTGCAGAGGCTGTCTCACTGCAGCCAGCATGGCCACGGGGTGTCAGTCAGAGCCAGCTCTGTGAGAGCTGGAGAAGGGATGCGGGAAGATTGGAGGGATGCAGGGATACTGGGGGGGGATGTGGAGGATGCTGTGCGGATGATGTGGAGGATGCTGAGAGGGGGGAGATGATGTGGGGATGCTGTGTAGGGGGAAAGATGATGTGGGGGAGCCCCTGCCCAGGACCTTGGGGTGCCAGAACCCCCCGTGGCTGCAAGAGCCGTTCCATCACTTACTGTCACATTTCATCCCCTGGTGAATGAGCCCGTAGAGCAACGACCCGCAGTGGTCACAGAAGGTGGGGCTGGAGTACGTGTGGATTTTAAACTTGTGCTTGCTCCGGGGATCCTGGGAGGAAAATACACGATCAGGATTATAAACTTGCATTAAACATTGGCAGGGCCCCACCGTGCTCCACGTTTCACATGCCAGCTGGCTACGGAGCTGCTGTTAATGGACTTCACTCAACTGCCACCGACTGATGTGGACCTTCTCCAACAGGCGCCAAGATCCAGCGTTATTACTCTTTGGATGTGTTGCCATAACAATGAGAAAGCAACGCGTTGGCTTCTCTGGCGATACACTGCTGTTAAATAACTTGGCCTTAGCATAGAAAGCACCAGGTGAAATTGGTGCCTAAGAACCAGCACAAGGGCTGGACCCTACTCAACTTCCGTGTAAAGCACAAAAAGCCACTCGTTATTTCCATCTGTATTAAGGGTACCCAGTGAACACCTTGGAGCTCCGGTGCCAATCCCTCCCCAGCACACTCCGGGGGAACTGAGCTGCTTAGTCAAATACTACTTGGGTATTTGGGGCTTTCTTAAAACCAACAGCAGATTTCCTGCAACAGCAGAACACACAAACCGGGAGGCACCGGTTTATCTTGGACACTGGCTGCAGTCCTGCGCAGCCACCTTGCAAACAGGGCTCCTCTACTGCAACAGGGATCTACAGAATCATGGAATGGTTTGGGCTGAAGGGACCTCAAAGCTCCTCCAGCTCCAACCCCTGCCACGGGCAGGGACCCCTTCCACTGGAGCAGCTTGCTCCAAGCCCCTGTGTCCAACCTGGCCTTGAGCACTGCCAGGGATGGGGCAGCCACAGCTTCTCTGGGCACCCTGTGCCAGCGCCTCAGCACCCTCACAGGGAAGAGCTTCTGCCTGAGAGCTCAGCTCAGTCTCCCCTCTGGCAGGTTAAAGCCATTCCCCTTGGCCTGTCCCTACAGGCCCTTGACCAAAGCCCCTCTCCAGGTTTCCTGCAGCCCCTTCAGGCGCTGGAGCTGCTCTAAGGTCTCCCCTTCAGGAGCCTTCTCTTGTCCAGGCTGACCCAGCCCAGCTCTCTCAGCCTGGCTCCAGAGCAGAGCTGCTCCAACCCTCGGAGAAACAACTTCAAGAGGGACATCGGACCAACCATGGGGAGAAATGACTGAGGCAGACCAAGGATTTGATGTTTCTTGGTATCTTCCATGCAAGACAAGATAATTCTGGAAGCCCTGATCAACCTCAGTTATTCAGACCAACACTGAGCATCGGGAAGACAGCACAAAGTTATGTCAGAACCATACAGGGACCACATGAGGACCAAGGGCACACTGGGGCAGGCAGTGCTGCTCCTGCAAGGGAGCCCAGAGCATCTCAGCGCTGCAGAGTAGGGTGCTGGCAGCATCTCACACAGCAGAGGAGGAGGATTATGGTGAGAAGCTGCTGGCTTCGTCCCATCTCAGGTTAATTGCAGGGTTAGGGATGAGGCACAGCTCCCGGCTTGGCCATTTGAGCTCAGTGGCTTTTTAATGGCCTGGAAAGGAGCCCAGGCGTTAGGAAAGACACCTTTACAGGGCACCGCGAGCCACGTAAATAAATAAAGAGCGGAGCCAGAGCTGAGCTATAACAGAGCTGCCAATACATCACCTCCCCCATTCCAATTCATTTTCCTACCACTACTGCACTGAGCCTTCCAGTCACGTTAATCGCTTCACATTCTGCATTATTTCACAGCACCACAGATAACTTGAGTGATACCAGGAAGGCGGAAGAGTAACGGAGCTTCATTTGATTCAGTCTGTTGAGTGCCAGGGATCAGGCACATGCTTCAGCAAGTTTATTGTATTTGAAACTGAAATCATCTCACATCTTAGCCTAAGCAAAGCGCTCCTATGCGCGGAGCAGGGCTTAGCTCTGTCTGGTAGCTTGTGTGTCAGCTGGGAGGCAGAGAGGATGAGGCTTCATGGTTAACCTGGCTTCTGGGCAGCCCCAGCTGCCCAAAGGACAGCTCTCCAAGTGACACTGCGCCTTCCAGCCTTCCCCAGAGAGGTAACAGACCACAGAACACCCCAGCCTGGGTTTCAGGCTAGAAGAGGGGTGGAAATGAAAGCTTTGCTAGGCAGGCTGCAGGCAGGGGGCTGGAGCTGGGCAGCCCATGATGCAGGCAGGTACCACCGAGCACTGCTGCCCAAAGGGACACCCGGATGAGCACACCCCTCCTAAGAGGCTTACAGGGTCAGTGCAATCCCTGCGCTGGACGTGCTGTAAGCCTCTGGAAACTTGATTTTATGACCTGAGCTCTGCTTGCGCAGCAGCTCAGGGACATCCCTGTAAGCAGCTTTGCCCACACAACACGGCGTGAACCAGCTCCGGCATCTCCCATGGATGGGCCCATGTCACCGAGGGCCTCATCTCATGGTGTGTGAGCACTTGCAGGGACGGTGACTGCAGCCCTGCCCTGGGCAGCCTGTTCCAATGCCTGAGCACCCTCTGGGGCAGGAATTGTTCCTCAGCTCCATCTAAACCTGCCCTGGTGCAGCTTGAGGCCGTTTCCTCTTGTCCCATCCCTTGTTCCCTGGGAGCAGAGCCCAGCCCCTCCTGGCTCCATCCTCCTGTCAGGCACTTGTAGGGGGCGACCAGGTCCCCCCTGAGTCCTCTGCATCTTGCAGAGCCCTGGGCACGGCTGCAGAGGACACCCCGGGGTGCTTGGGCATCGTCCCATCACCTTCAGCAGCAGGATGAGGTTGATGCCATGGGGGCAGCAATAGCAGAAGCCACGTGCTAAACCCCAGCGTGTGACACGGGGAGGAATCGCCCCCGAGCACTTCAGTTTCTGTGTTCCCTTCTAGAAACAGATATTCCTGTTTAGGCAAATGAAAGCTTTAGTCATTCATAAAGAAAAAAACCCAACAAACCACAGGCTTAATGCAAAATGAGACAATTGATGTGAAGGATGTTAAATTCCCACTGGAAACGGGAGTTAAAAAAGACAGAGCCAGAAAAGTAAAGTGTGCATTGAGCCATGCTGCGGCAGCAACAGCATCTCCAAAGTGCTCCATCAGCATCCCAGCCCTGCTCAGAGGGAGCTGGACCCCTCATGGGCTTCACTTTCTGCTCCCACCCCAAGAGCTGTGTTCTGGATTGACCCAGCACCCAGAGTCCAAAGGATGTGAGGGTGATGGATGCAGCCAGGCACAGGGAGGCAGAACTGCTTCTCTGGTGCGAGGGCCCTGTTTCACCTTGACCAGGCTTTAGAAGGTGCCAGAAACTGGAAAGTCTGGATATCATTTTCGACCCAGGCTGAAGTCATTTTGCAAAGAGCCTATTTTTGTACCACAGAGACAGGGATGACGAGGTCCCTGTGTGTGCAGATGCTGAGACTTACAGCAAGAACGTTTAAAAAGAAGTTTGCCAAGAAAAGGAGAAGCGTTCCTCCTGCATCCCACCAGCGCAGAGGAGCAGGGCACAGGGGCTCTTCTTCAGAACAGAGCTGAGAAACACCATGAGGAGAGTTTTGCTGCACTGCGAGGCTCTGCCCTTTTGAATCAGCGCTGCCACAGACCCGTGATGCTGCAAGGGGAGGGATGTGCGTCTTGAGGATGTGAGCCTGAACGAGTCCGAGCATAAGCTAGGAAAGGGAAGAAGCTGTTGGCTTCAACCTGGTACCCTGCAATGACCCATTAGAGGTGGCTTCTGCTTCTCAGCTTGACAGCAGGTTTCAGGTCTGAAATGAGCCAGTGCTGTATCGCATCCTTGACGTACTGCAGCCGACCTGCAGAGCAGACCTCGCAGACCCCAGCTCTCCCCAGAACCCCACACACCTCTCGTTGCTCCCACCCTACTGTGCTGGGTATGGGGGTCTGTGTGTGCTGCCTGCAGCAGCCCCAGCTCTCCTGCACTCCCAGGAACACAAGGAACGTGAGTCATAAGCAAGGAACCAAGTCCTGCCCTTTGAGGCACTGTGAGCACAGCCCTGCCAGAGCCTTCCCCAGGCTCAGCAGTCACCTGCACCGTTCTTCAGGGTCATACCCACCCCTGAGCTCCCTCAAGGACCACACCAATGTCAGGCACCTCCCGCTGAACCCTGATGGAGATGCTGATGCAGGAGCTGCTGCTCACCGGTTCCTTGCCGGCAGGCAGCTGGTGGCATTGATCAGAAGGACAATTTATGTGCTGTTCATGGGAGCCAGCATCCCTTTGCTCTTGTGCAGCAGCCTGCCTGGGCAGCGGCTCAGCACACAGCGGTAAGCCAAGGGGGGAGAGCAGAGCAGAGCAGCACCACGCTGCACGACAAGCAAGGGCGTTTGGCTTCAGCTATTCCTCATGCCAAGTCCGCGTCCTGGCAAGGGCAGCAGCCTTCTGTCATACACAGGGTGCAAACCCTGGGCTGGATGCTGCCTGGGTTTAGACACTTCTGCACTGCATCGGTGTTGCCTCTCCTGGTGCAGGGAGGAGGTGGGATGCAGGGGGAGACCAGACCCTTCCTCAGACCCAGCAGCCTGAGCCGGAAAACACTTGTAAAGCACATCCAGCTCACTTGGGTTCATCCC